ATCTTAATACGTACTTTTGTTGTTACTTTGATTGTAGCTCGCGCCTTCGCCTGCCTGTCAGCGTTCGTACCGAAGTTCCTTCACAACTTCTTCCTAAAGGACAACAGTTCCGTAATAAAAGAGTACCTGGCTAAGTTCTGGCAAATGGTGGCCTTCCATGAACCCCAGCTGGCCACGCACCTCCACGAGATCAACTTCGTGCCCGAATTATTCGCTATTCCATGGTTTCTCACTATGTTTTCACGTAAGTTTAGTTTTTTATTTTATTTTATTGTTCAAACTAGACAGGTTAAACAAGTGACTTAAACAAGCCTTTAGTATTATTTGAAAAACTTAATGAGTTTATTTTATTCATTATTATGACATTTGAGTCGATGCTTTCAAATTTTTCCCATACTAATACTGTTCAATTTGCCTTGGGGTCGAGCGACAGAGACACTGGCTTCATTTCACAATTTTTTTTTTACAAACGAAGAAGAAGAAGCAATTTGAAAAATGTACATTGTATACTATACGTGTTCTATTTAGTACACTTGATATAAAAAAAATCATTGCTATGTGAATTGAATATATATTTTTAGGAATCAATTTTAAATTTTAATCAATCTCAATTTTACTAAATATTTTTTCCGAAGTGATTGATTCAAAGCTTTCACTGTTGTGCGGCATAACCAAAGCCATTTGAGGTTATACAACATCTGACTGTTAATAATTATTTCGCCATTGTTCTTAGTCATTTTTCTTATCGTATCGATAACAATAATAATAATAATAACGCACACACTCAACATAGCACTAGGGAAACCCTGTGTCGCGGGTGTCATGGACACACACATAGACAACCACAAATTACACCCAAACTCACGAGAGAAATAAATGTAGGTCATACAAATATTTCTCCCGGCCCGGGAATCGAACCTGGGACCTCTGCGTGGCAGTCCGGCATGGTAACCGTTCGACCACGGAGGCAGTTGATCGATGGCATATACTAAATTCTTGCCATCATGGTGAAAGGGCTTGCCAGTCGGCATAAGGTACCGATTGTTACTCAGGTTGCGTTAGATGCAAACATCGAGTATATAACCAGAAATAGAGAGGAAATAATTGCCATCCATCTCTGGCAACTTATCAGGCAAATGGGCCTTATATCACTTTTAAATATCAACTCTCGTTTGCGCTGAAATCATAAATTACAAAGCTGAAATAGTACAGCGCCAACAACTGACCTGTGTGCACGTCACCGTATGTTCCAAAAATATTCTGTATTTATTGTAACTTTATTATAATATTCCTAACTATGGGGGGCTGTTCCATTTGGTGGTGTGGGAAAAACAGCAAAACATCTAATTACAAAACAAACTGAATCACGTTTCATCAATAATTAAATATGTAATTCTTCAATTTTCGTCCATTATAGCAAAGCTCAAGTTAAACTGGTCGATTTTAAGTGAAACAATTGACGACACCCGTCAATTGTTTCGAATTCGGGCTTGCCAATCGCGGCGCAGTTGTCACCTTAATGATTTGACAGAGTTGTTTTCGAACAAATTAAATGGCATTTCGTCTCTATTTCTGGTTATATTCTCGATGGATGCAAAGGAAAGGAATGGTAGGTCGTGAGGGCTCATATCGTGCACATCAAGTCCCAGTTTACCGATGTCGCCTTGTTATTCCAATGGTGCGGTCTATCTCTCAGAGACTTAGCAATGTGTATCAATTTTAAGGAAATGTTTTAATTTAATTGTCACAGACGTTTTCCCCCTACACAAAATCGTCCACCTATGGGATGCGCTGCTAGTGGAAGGGCCATCGCTACCTTTATTCATGGGAGTAGCAATCCTGCGGCAATTACGTGACACTCTGCTCGACTCCGGCTTCAATGAATGTATTCTACTCTTCTCAGATCTCCCGGAGATTGACATTGGCGAGTGTGTCAAAGTAAGTAAACATACATAAATTATAGTCCGTCTTTTCTGAAAACGGAGTAAAATGACACGTTGCCCGCTTGCAAGCACGTAGTGATTGTAGTCGATAAAATATTCTGTCGACTATCGACTGAACCTTGGTTACGCTTATGAAATAAATACGCGAAGTTTAATTTAATTCATAATCAGCCCATTATACGTCCAACTGCCGGGCTCATTTGAATAGTTGATTTATGAAAATTCATTCATACATACACTGAATTTAGAAGTATGTGTATTAAAAATATAAATAGGTGTTTTTGAGAATATATGTATGTTAAAGATGTTCATTTTAATTTAATATACGTAATCAAACTCAGTTTGACCAACTTCGGCTGTCCCGGTTTTGTTCGTCGGATACAATGAAATGGTCGCTTCGTGAAACTGAGTCGATTAGCACAAAAACGTTTTGATTTTATTCATTTTTATGGCCACCTCACACTTGACCAATAAATTGATTTGCAAAATTGTTTTCACTAAAAAATACTTAATGGTTATCGAGTTCTTAGGTTTTCGCGATTGTTACACATAGGAAATGAAACTATTTTTCCGGATTTAAATCGCATTTGTTTTTTCAAACAAGCCGACGTTTCGGGCCCTTTACAGGTCCCATGGTCACGGTTGACTGAGGTGGTACAGTCTTCAACCAGTTATGTCTAATATTGATGCAAACCACCCTAATTTTTCACTATAGTTACAATAGTTATTAATTAAATACCTTATTTTTAATTTTACAAAGAAAACATTCCAATTTACGCTACATTAAGTTTTACAAATTATTTTATTCAATGAATTTTTATTAAGTTTAATTTATTATTAATTATTAATAGAAAAATAGAATAAACCAAAACATATTAATTAGTACTGCAGTCTTATGTCTGTTTGGGATTTTTCATTAGAGGAAATACTGGATCCCAAACTGGTGGTACGGAGAAACCATCTTCCCGGTTGAAATTAGGATGTTTTTTAATTTCAAGGGCCTCACGCAGCATCCTGGGCAGATAACGGACTTCTTTTGCAAGGACCTGGGGTTTGTCAAACTTCATTGAATGTGTAGGTTTATCCATGACATGCTCGCAGACTGCAGACTTGTTTACGCGACGGTAACGTCGGTTTGTTTGAAAAAACAAATATACGCGATTTAAATCCGGAAAAATAGTTTCATTTCCTATACTTAATGGTTCCTTAGACAGTTTCCTTGTATCTTCTCCCACTGCTGAGTATAGGCCTCCAAGTTTCTGCGCCACTCCCCACGATCCCGTGCTAATCTCATCCAGGTTCGCCCCCCAATTTCTGCGATGTCATCCGCCTGTCTGACATCTTATGTCCGTATCAGGTGTCCTGCCCAGTTCCACTTAGCTTCATGACGCGGTTCCCCACGTCACTTTACCTTTGTTCGACTTCGATTCTGGACGTTAGGAACACGATCTGTAAGCTTGATACCGACTATGGCACGCTACATGGCTCTCTGTGCAACTCTTATCTTACACACAGCTTCCTGCATGAGTGTCCATGTCTCGGCACCGTAAGTCATGGTAGGCAGAGTAGTGTATCTTCTATGGTTTCGGATTTCCCGATACTGTCCCATATAAAAAAAAAAAACACTGTATGATGGATTGATAGTGATGACAAAACTTTTTGTAGCAAAAATATTTTATTTGAAAACATGACCTTTACATACTATGTTATAGAAGACCCGTGTTCAGAAGTGGGACTTACATAGGTTGATTGAATGTGTCACTCCGAAAATTATGTCACTGAAATGGTATTCTGGTTACGCAGGAGTCGATAGAAATGTGCCGCAGCTCTCCACGTAGCATAAGCTACAGAAGATTTACCAAAGAACCTCAAAGCAAAGATCCTATGGTAAGTTATCTAGAATTCGTTCTAACTATTTAATCAGGTACAAATTAATTTAATCAGGCACTTCTTAAAATATTCAATCGTTTATATTTTTTTAACTGATGTAGATAGGAAACGTATACCTTTAATTCGTGAAAGGAGCAAATAGGTAGCAATTATTGGTAATACATACTTCTGGAAAATCTGCTTCCTTCAGGCTGAACAAAGTGGCGAACAGCCATCCTGACGTCAGAATGGCTGGTCAATTTTATTTTTAATTTCTCGGAATATAGCAACGGTAGTAATTATTTAGAAATGGTAGTAAATAGATAGCAATTCTTGAATATACACTCAGTGCCAGATGCGACAGGCGACCAGCCATCCTGACGGTCACCTTATTTTGTACATAAAATAAAGACCACTGCATTAGGCATTACTATAATTATTAATACAAATATCGAACACTTAGAAAAAATTCTTTCGATCCGGCCGGATTCCCGGATTCCGGAATCCTTGCCAGACGTTATGCCAATGTAAACCACGGATTTCACATAGATGGCGCTATGGCTAAAAAGTGGTTGAAAAACTAAATACCAAGATCCGACAAGCGCATAGAAAAATTCGAGAGGTCCGCTGGTTCGTCCGTGGCTTAGTGTAAAAAAGTATTGGAGTAATTTCACATAAAAATAATTGAATATCAATTCAATATAAATTTAATTATGCATTGCTGTTTGATACGCCATGTTTGGATTACCGTTTTTTCCAAACAAACTCTTCGTGTATTTCGCATGAAATGGATTTTTGCTTTTTGTTTTGGCAGGATATTGTGGATATCACCATGGAGACTTTATTTGCGGAGATCTGTCCACGAATCAGCCTGTCGGATTGCTTTTCACAGATCTGCCAAGACAAGTGCTGCGTCGTTGATATAAGATCCAATTTGTTGTAAGTATTCAACAAGTAGCAAATTCTAAATTCTAAGATAAATGTGTTTAAATATTTTTTAGGTTTTTCTGGTAAAAAGAATGGCTAAAATGAACATTTGATATATTTTAATCAGTCGGTTTTATACATAATATTCTGCGTGGCAGACCAACATGGTAACTCTTCAGCCACTCCTTGTGAAAGAGTTCGTTCAGGGAAGTACTGCCACCTTACCTATTTCTGCCACCAAGCAGTAATGTGAACATTACTGCGTTCCGGTTTGGAAGGGCAAGGCTGCTGGTGAAATTACAGGCACATGGGACTTGTCAACTTATGTCTTAGGGTGTCGGGTGCAGTGGCAGTGGTTTAAAGCTCTGAGTGGCACGGCAACTGTTCTGGACAGGCGTGTCGCTTACCACCAGGCACACGACTTGTTTGTCCCGTCACTTAGTATTACAAAAAAATTACCCTTTTTATACTTTTATAATATCAACTGACGGGACGAGCAAGTTGCAGTGCCATTTAAAGCTATAAACCGCAAAAACCTGAGGGGCACTGCCACTGCGCTCGTCATAAAGTTGGTAAGACTTAAATTCAAGTAATTTCATACTACAAACAGAGAACAAAAAATAAAAAGAACGGACACTCTCCGCCCCTCCCTAGCTTTAGAGACCGCACCGCGCCCCGCACATTGCCGGTCACATTGACGGAACGACAACAGGGCTGCTGGCGAGCCGTTTTCGAGCGAAGACGTCTTTGATATTTGAATATAGTTTTCATTTATTAATTACGAAACTTGTACGTTAATATAAATCATTTTACGTTACTATTTATAATGGTCGTGAATTGTGCTGTGTACCGTTTATCATCATTTTCCGAAAGATGAAAAGTAAACAAAAAAACTTAATTCTGGGACTCATTTAGTTATTGTTTCCTTCACTTATTTACTGCAGAGTTATATAATGTATGTATAAAAAATACAGATTTATTAAATCAATATAATGAGGCGCCATGACGTCGTAGACAAGGGTTTTCGAATTTTAAATTCGTATTGCCGATAAATATTACGTAAGTAGTGAATATACTTAATTATTAACTAAATAATGATAATCTACTTGGACACGCAATTTCAAATACCTTAGTTACCATATTTAAAAGGACATGTCCGAAATATAACATTTTAAGGGTTTTTAATATATTTTTTAAATAAATCTTCAATATTACTATAGTTAGTGAATTAATGAAAAATGTGATATTATATCGATATAAATACATAATAGACATATGTAATTATTAGGATTCTACAAAGTATGTATAGCAATCTGTGCTGCATTCTATTATTACAATCATAGCTTATAGATTCGCGTTAGCATTTTCGCTATGTTACCGCTCTAACGTAATAGTGCAAGAAAGTGATGGGTAACCCTGCCACTACACGCACACATTTGCGCGTGTGCAGATAGCGCCTTGCTATATGTACTAGTAGTAGGTAAATAATTTTCGACTGTTGTATGGAGTGTCCGGGGTGTGCTACAAAGTAACAATTTCGATTGCGTGAAGCAGAACACAAAAAATCGAGACCCGATAGAAGCTCAATCCTTATGTAATCCCGTGGCTACATTCAACATTTATTATTACTTTAGTTTCATGTAAACATACGTCGTTGGTTATATTTGAAAACCGCGTAACTAGGTTTTTAGACGACATCCCTTGGTTATGAATTTTACCGACTTCCAATAAATAAACAGACGAAGTAAGAGGCAAGTGGTGATTTAGATACGAGAAGAGCTGCGTCGAAGGCAGCATCAACGTGCCATACAGCGGGGTGCAGCTGGGGCAGCTGCAGCTACAGGCGCTGGGTGCGCAGGCGCATCGCGTCCTCAGCGCCGCCGAGCAGCAGGGGAAGGTCGTCGTCGTCGTTTCGGCCGAGGACGAGACGGCGCAGCTTGTAAGTCACGTTGGAACTACACTACTAGCTAGCGATGTGCGATTACGAATGATTTTATGATTCGACTCGTTAGTAATTACTAATCTTGTCATTCGGACGGAATCTTGTAACTTACTAATTTTCGTATTCGAATTACCTGAACATCGAGCATATAACCAGAAATAGAGACGAAATAAGGGCCAAATATTCCTGGTAACACATAAGCGATACAGCTCTAATAAATATCAACTCCCGTTTGCACTGAAATATAGACAGGCCAACTACTGACCTGCGTGTACGTCTCCGTATATTCCAAAAAATATACTGTATTTATTGTAATAAAGATAATATCTCTAACAATACCGTGCTGTTCTATTCGGTGGTGTGTGAAATACAGCAAAACATCTAATTACAAAACAAACGGAATCACATTTCATCGGTAATTAAATATTAAATATGTAATTTTGCAATTTACGTCCATTATAGCAAAGCTCAAGTTAACTGGTCGATTTGAAGTGAAACAATTGACGACACCCGTCAATTGTTTCGAACTCGGTCTAGCCAATCGGAGCGCATCACAGTAATAATATGGCAGAATAGTTTTCAAACAAATTAAATGACATTTCGTCTCTATTTCTGGTTATATACTCGATGGACCTGAATGATCATTTATTACTAATACATAAATTCCATAGTGCATTTGTGCTCGTGATCACCTGCCCTCTCTGACATATGGTAAATACCGTAAATGTGTCGGGGACAAGGATATTTGGATGTGGACGTGGCGAATGATCTGGTGGAGCTCCGACATAATAATCATTCGACGGAATAGCCGGGTCATTCGGTATCGGTAATCGAGTCGAATTATTGTGCCTGAATCATTCGACTGGAGAGTCGCTCACCTTATACCAACTCAACTCAACGTATACCATTCATCCACGAGGGGTGCGATACGTCTCAGGGTGACGGACGCAGTGGTAGTGCTTCTCAGGTCTTTGCAATTTAAAGCTCTAAGTAGCACTGTAACTGTTCCGGACAGGCGTGTAGGCTACCATTAGGCGCATGGCTTGTTCGTCCCGCCACTTGACGTAATAAAAAAAAAACAAAAATAATAATATTATTAAATACAAACATAATATTCTATACATAATAAGATTAAGTTACTTGTTATATTGCTATGACATTAAATACTATTTACTTGTCTGCCTGAAGCACAATGCAATTTAAAAAAAACAATACAATAAAAGAATACACACAACGCCACTGACTTTGCGATACATCCCCTAGTACCATTTTTTTGTGTATCAAGTCCTTACATGTTCGTCTAGACTCAACGAACAAATCTATGTCATTGAAGTCATTATTGGTACGACATAGCCTTGTAAGAACTGGGTTTCGTCCGGAGTGACATGGTGTAACTCAATAAACCCATATAATATATTGTACGATAGCGTGGAATTGAAAATCCAACGCCGGCTACTAGCTCTGGAGATTCTCCAGATTTCGAAGAATAATGTCATTTAATAAAACCATATCCGTTAGGACCCTTCAATCGTCAAAGTGTCGATATGAAAAATATTTTTAAATCTGATAAACAAAATAATTTGTTCTTTTTTTTTGCAGTTCAGTGACTACCTAGTGAAGTGCCGGGTACCAAAAGTTTGCATCCTACATGGTGGTGTCAACGCTCTACAAACGCACATACCGTCGCTCTTCACTGTACCGCCTAAGAGAAACGGGCACAAGTAGAGAAACAATAGTTTTTGTTAAAACCTTTTTACTGTTTACCTCTCGCTAACTGTAAATGAAAATGTGATAAAATAAGATTCAGAATCCTCTAAAATGCGTGTACCACCACCATTGACTTACAATTATATGGACGTCGGGTCCGCGCTAAAAAGTGTCCGAACTTATAGGGGGTTAAAATCGTATACAGAGCGTCATTCACGCTTTAGTCTTCGTTTGTTCGACTGACAGCGAAGCAAGCAAAATTAGACAGTGCTGCAATGACATTACAATTTAAATTCAACGTTTTAGCTTTTTCATATTCCTTTACATGTCACTACGTTTAAATAGGTTGACTTGGGACATTTTTTTCGTGGTTTGTGTATTAGACCCGTCGTCCATTTATTTGTAAGCCAATGACCACCACAATAAATACAGTAGAAGTGGTTAGTTAGCATCTGACGCGTGCCAATTACAGGTCTCGAAAGATCTATCTGAGCTCAGTTCGCCATTTTCGCTTTGTATGGTATGGTTGTGTAATTTTTTCGTGCAAATTCTCTAAAATCCTGGAAAAATGCCTGATTGTGCTGTTTTAGTGTGTGCAAAAACGAAGTGGTGGTACAAGTGGTGGTATTTCATATCATCGGAAAGACTTATTTTAATAAATTTTCATTTTTCTGTTCATCGAAATATCTTCTTTGTTATAATTATTAATACAAAGATCGAACACTCAGAAAAAGTTCCTTCGATCCGGTCGGATTCGAACCGCCGTCTTCTTGCATACCGTGCCAGACGCTATACCAACTAAGCCACGGAACGAACCAACGGACCTCACGAATTTTTCTATGTGCATGCGTCGTGTCTTTGTACTTGGTTTTTCAACGACTTTTTAGTCGTAGCGCCATCTATGAGAAATCTTTGATAGATTTATCACCCAGTTAGTACCTTTACAGACGTCGGTTCGAATCCGACCGGATCGAAGGAATTTTTTCTGAGTGTTCGATGTTTGTGTTAATAATTATAACAAACTAGTGGAGTAATTTCACAAAAAATTATTGAATATCAATTCAATAAAAAATTTTATTTATCTTCTTTGTTATAAGAAACGAAAGTAAAATTATATCCCTGCAATATGGTCGCTTTTTTTTTGGAGAACTAAATTAATAACTTCAATTCGTCGTCGTTCAGCAATTAACCGCTAGATGGTTGTACATTAATTAAAATTTCATTAATATAATAGGTATCGATGGTGTTGAACTTTCAACGATATGACAACAGGGTAAAGTTGAAATCATATTAACAATCCGTAATCTGTAACCACGACCAATCAATATCTAGATTTTGTAGTGTTTCAAATTAAGAATGTGTGAGTCAAACTCAAACTCAAATTCAAAATAATCTTTATTTCATAGGTAAGCATTATTACACTTGAAATCGTCACAATGGTTAAACTCTACCGCTCATTCGTAAGGCAGATTCCCCTGAGAAGAATGAGCAAGAAACTCTAGGGGTTGCTCTTTGTAAATAGCATTTACAATATTTCTTTTTTTATTTGAAACATCAGAGATCGAGACTACCTCCATGAGCTAAACGGGTTACGGGTTAGTTTTGGCGACATCGGTTCCCATAGTAATCAAGGGTTAAGGCACTTCCATAGTTTTTTTTCTTCCGTGGTTCTTATTTTAATGGGACAGTATGGGAAAATTCGAAACCATAGTATATAGAGAAAACTGTCTTAGGGACCATTAATTTTGGCATATCTAGTCGATTTTTTGGTCAAGCGCGAGTTCTCCATAAAAATGAATAAAATTAATCTAAATTTTTTAAATGCTGATCGACTCAGTTTTATATAAGGTCAAATTTTTGTGTGATCGTCACGCGTCGCACGTCGAAGAAGGATCACAACCTTCAGAAAACGTGGGAAGTCTCCAACCCGCATTGCAATTTAGGTAAAGAACCGACTTAGTGTCATAGTAAAGTTGATCCATTAAGACTTTTTTAAATCTAAAACTAACAACCCATTAACCGCCAGTTCGTTATCTCTATACTCCGTAAAATTTAGCTTAATTATTAATAAAATTGTTCGTCCTTCGGGACAGATTAAATTGTGTAATTAGTCGTTCTGCCAAATCTTAAATTTTAATTTTTCTTCAATCACTTCATGCAAGTAGTTTTTGACTAGTTTTCGGGTTTTTATGGGTTTTAACCCGATTAAAAACTGGCGTTAACAAAGTGATGAATAAAGAACCCTGCCCTCACTGAGCCAGTGTGGCAGACTATGGCCTAAACCTTCGCCTGAGAGGAGACCCGTGCTTATCAGTGGGACGTGTAAATGGGTTGATGGTAAAAATGTTTACATACATACATACATACATACATAACTTGTAGGATGCGGCTACTTTACGTTGTCCTAAATTGTGGATCTGTAATTCTAGCTAAATTTTACGGAGATGATTAAAAACCCGGTTTATTCCCAGCAGTTCCATGTACTCTGTTCCACATGGAACAATTGAAACTCAAAAATTCCATGCACGAAACTAGTGGAAATAAAAAAATTTTTTTTGGAAATATGTATGTATGTCATGCAATTAATAAAGATAATCTCAGTACAGAGTACTAAAAAAACCGACCTCAAAAGTACGTGGAATTACGTCTATTTGCCAAGTTTTAATGACACAGGGGTTAATAAAAATCGGTTCTCACTACTCAAAGTATATTGAGAGAAAAACGCCTTGAATTGGAGAATAGCATGATCGGTTGATTGTGCTGTTAATGGTTATTAAAATAATTGCTCCTTATAATAAAATTTAGGCGCTATTTATAAAAATGAATCTTCATGCGTGAACAGCCCTTAGAGGAGGATGATTTTCTTAAAATTTAAATGGAACCACTATGGAGGGACCCTCTTTCTAACAAAAAAAGAAACATCAAAATCGGTTTACAAAATGGCGGAGTTATCACGTAACATACTTACAAATAAACATACTGTCGAATTCAGAACCTCCTCCTTTTTTGAAGTCGGTTAAAAACATTTACGTCGCCGAGTTTAGTGTTGCATATTCATTTATTGTATCAATAATTTGCCAAGGGAAATAATTAACAAAATAAGTCGGCGATAGATAAAATTATCATCACCTGAATAACAAATACTTATTTCCTGTAATAAATTTCGATATACCTAATCCGGCTTGATGGGACAATCCGGCTTGACAGTAAATATAAATCGCAAATGTATTTTAATTGTACAATTAAATGAATAACATGTTATGTAATGGGGTTTTCAATAGAGACATAACAATTTTGGATTTCAATAAAACACAAATAGAGATTCCAGGTGCAGAAATTTGAGAATGAAATTCGATGTCGGTCATATGACCGCCGCGAGCATTGCAGCGTTCAATTCATTGGCGCCAATTGTCCACCACTCTTCTTCACATATCGGACGAAATGTAGGCAGTTTCGCGTTTGATATTGTTTCTGAGCTCATTTAATGTTGTTGGCATAAACCAACGATTAAATATAACCCCATAAAAGTAGATAGTATGAGCGAGGTGGCCACTCGACCGGACCATTTCGCGACAGATTACACGATTATCAAACTTCCTCTTCAATAGATCGATTGTTTGACTAACTGCAAACGTGCTCGCGGTGGTCATATGAACGAGATCGTATTACATTCTTAAATGTAACGTGTGTAGGTACTGAATAAATTTCAAATTATTCTGTTTTTTTGAAATACAAAACTGTTATTTCCTTATTGAAAAATATATACATTTCCAAATATTTAAATTAGTGGCATTCCAGACCTATGAAGTGAATAGCGTAACATTTTTACCTTTATTACATACCTCTAGCTATTTATGGTAGATTATAAAGCAACGCAATGTAATAATCAAGAATTTTATTAGACTATTGTATATTATATTAGCGGTAAGAGAATGTTATTTATTGAATAAAAACACAAAAGACACTCATGGTGTGTTTATTACTTTTGAATTCTCACGGCACCATCGACGATGTATCGCGAGATTAGTGCCCACATAATTAGTGACGTATTGTGCGTGGGCAGTCCCTGGTGGACGTCATGGTCTTCCCCTATCAGATTATGAATGAGCTGCTGATAGCAGCCGAGGCGGGGGGTGCCGCTGGCCGCGCGCCTCATTCGTCGGTCGCACTCCGCTGTGAAAGTACGCGTCGAACGCTCCCGCTTTGCGCACCAAACATTCCTCGCGTGCGGTGAAACTTTTCAAACGCATTTTATCGCGAAAACAAATGGGCGTAAACAGTGAAACTTAAACGAGTGATCATGTACAGTGTGTGAGTAATTTCTGACAGTTTGTAGTGCTGCTCTGCGTATTTTCCAAAGTTCAGCACGCGAAAGGACTGACGGAGTGACAGTTTGTGTTCTGTGCGAGTTTTTCTCGGAGTTTTCTCTTGGTGTGAGTCGGAGGCCGTTGTAGCAACCCGGCCCCGACATGGAGAGTTATTTCGACATCTCCAACGACCTGAAGGACGTCTGGGATGCGGACATCGACCCGGTAAGTCGACCTTGTGTGATATCACTTATCATCGACGGGTTGAGCGATGTTTCTAGTCGTGGAAATTAGTATTGTATCCCGAAAGTTGACTAAACCCGGGCAGTGTTGATAACATCTGATAAAAAAAATAGCTAACGCTCGTGGTTGTTTTGTAATCTACCTTCCATTGACCGTCGGTGCATTGCTATATGAAAATAAACAAGAATGCCTGACTCATGGCGTCATTATTGTAGTTGACTGATGACAACGACTTGGGCAATGTTTTTTCTCAAACAATACCGTTATGATATCTGTAACGCCTAGCAAAATTTTGCAAGTACTTTTTATCTATCACCATATTTATACACTGAGTGGCGAAAAATAATAAATATCAATAAGAACGCATATTGTTATCACTGATAACAGGCGTATCTTTACATTTAAAACTTCTTTGATTATTACTTGTGGTAAGTAGCCAATTAGTTTAATAAATACCGGCACATTTATACATTTTATATTACACGAAGAAGATAGCACTAAGCCTTTACAATTGAACGATGTGTTAAAGGTATTTAGTACTTATAAATACTTTCGTGAGTGTAATTGTAGCCGCCAATTCGTATTGCTAAGCAAAAATTTTGATCCGGTACATTCACTTCTTGAGCCGTCAATTGCATTTACGGGTTCCACAACTTACAGCTTTGTTACAAAAATTGCACTCTCTCTCAGCTGTTGTTCACTATCTTCGACAATCCTATATGAACCAGGTACCTATTACAATCGTGATTAATAAAGAACTAAACTAATATTTATTACACAATTAACTTCAGTTAGAAATAAGATAGAACAGGAAAGTGTTAGCTCTCGCTGTGCAATCGTTATAAGACTTCATTTCCTTACATAGACAGTGACAGCGTTTACAATAAAATCAAATATTAGAATATGATGATAGTACGGGGAACCCCGTTTCGTTAAATGGGTCTCAAAAAACTTTAGTGTGCGATTTCCAAGTGTTCTCTTGTAGTTGTCGCTTAGTCCATTTTCACACAGAAGTACCAACAACTTAATAACAAAATTCAATAATTTCCATACATTGAGCATTTTATATTGAATCGATCACTATGACAAGAAAAGTTCTTTTTTATGTGCAGGACTATTGTATGTACTTTCCGTGAAAGGTTTAAGATATACTAATCATACTTCCTCTCACGTTAATTACAGGATAAACGATGCTCATAACAACTGTGCCATGGACGTTGACCTTAGTGAGTTCACAAAAAATATAGAAAGGGATCTAAAGTAGATGCAATAAAAATCCGAGCGATTGGAGCAAAACATTTTTTATGGAGCGTGCGCTCGCGCCGAGTGGTTTGTTTTTGTGTTCTGTTCATCATAACATGACGGGTTTTTTGCGTTTGTTTATAGCATTTTCCTGCAAACTCTCATACAATTGTTTCTGGTGCCTTATCGTATAGTTATTTGTTGTTATTTCTTCTTGATAAAATTACGTGAACTTTTTATCATCGTGATGGTTTCAAATTTATGAACTTCACGTTGAATAATACGCTTCGTTACAATGATTAGAATCACCTTGATTAACAAACTTAGAGTGCCTAGTTTTAACCCTAAAAGGGTTTTTTTACTTGTCAAAATAGAGAAGACAAACAAAACATCAAGCTCACTAATAAGTCCGCTATAAAAATTCCCCACACGAAGTTGGTTATTCGGGAGAGGTCGTTGAGACCTCCAACACCTGTAACTTGTTTTCTCTGACATGCGGTGACGTCACTGGTGGATGTAACGCGGCCGTGTTACGGAGGCGTTTCGCCTTCTTTAATTTGTTACGGTCGAATCGTCTCCACGTTTGGTCAGGTTCGCTGGGCGTACATTTCTTATGGTTACGTACTCCGTACGGTATCGTGGTGCGTCGACCTGGTACATTGAACTAAGAGGCCCGGCGCCCGCTGGCGGTTTTTTTTTTAAATTAAAATTCAACTTGTAAATCTTCTAAGTTTTCTAACTCCGCACCTAGTTAAAGAAAAATTCCGATGGCCTGTTTGCTGAATTGGTTAACTGTGTGGATTCGAACACGTGCGTTTGAAAATTTTGTTAATTTGTTGCGACCTTTATTGCGATGGCTTAAAGGCTATTTTACAAGATTCTTTATATTTTCCTCAGATTATCTTTGGCTTGTTTGTACAGTTTCTTCGTTTTTGAAGTAATAAATTAATTTTTTTAGCAATTAATTAGTAGTTAAATAATATTAAATATTAAGGTACCAGCAGAGCTCTTCGTGTAGGAATTAGTCCGGGGAAGTACTGCCACCATATTTATTTCTGCCGCCAAGCAGTAATATGGGCATTACTGTGTTTAAATTTTGAAGTGTAAGCGTGTTAGTGAAACTACAAGCAAAAGGGACTTGTCAGCTTTGTCTCAGGGTAGCGGGTGCAGTGGCAGTACCCCTCAGATCTTTGCGATTGAAAGTGGCACTGCAACTGTGTCGTTTACTTACAGGCGCACGACTTGTTCGTCCTGTCACTTGATATCATGAGTTAAAAAAATAATAATATGGTGGAGTTATTTATTCTATGATAGGAAATTTGTTGGAAAACCGTCTTAATAATAATAATATATATAATTCTTTATTTCGGACCGTAAAATATCCATAGTATGTTAGTAAAAGAACTTATATTATCAAGGTTAGTAATAATCAGTGCAAGTTAATTATATTTCAAACCGGGCTACGCCATTAACTTGCACTATCCAATGTTTCTAGATAGGACAATTATACCTTCCCGCTATAGCATTGAGGGTCGTATTCTATAACTCTATGCTCAAGTCAGGATTTAAGCAGACTTGAGTATGATTTCAAGCACTGGAAATACGACCCTAATGGCAAGGACTTGAGTATGATTTTCAGTGCTCACTGCAATACTCGAGTCCTGACTTGAGTATAGAGTAGAGTTCTGGAATACGACCCTAAGAATGCTGTTGGTGCTGAGCCTCACGCGACTCATAAGCGACATTAATGGCCATAAAACAAAAAGATAAATAAAAAAATATTATATCCGAAATCATTGAATATGCAACAGAGTCAGTTAAAGTTCAAATTAAAATAATATTCACCAGCAGAGGTTCTATCTCTTTTAAATCGTGTAAGTTAATTACTTCACACTTTAAGTTATCGGTGTATACTTAGTTATAACGACCTCGGTGATCCAGTGGTTAGGTCTACGTTTCATGGATTCGATTGCCGGTAGAACCAACAACGCTGAAGAGCGGAATACAAAAAAATTGCAATGGCAGTTGAATATTAAGCTTGATGGCTAGCCATTAACAACCCGCCACTCTTAACTTTTTGCAGAATAGAATTTTAGCAGTGCACCCGTGAAAAGGCATGCCAGTAGCACGCGTGGCGGTGACTGGCAATGTCAACTAAACAACCAAAAAACTGAAAGTTGCAATCGTTGTCTTCAATTTAAGGTATTTAGGCCACGTCCGATTGCGATGGCATTTGAAGTGCTTATGACGTCATTGCCCAGATACGTATTGCCAATTTCATTCACCATAGGAACCATTTCCTTTGGCCTAAAGCGTTATCGCCTTCCGGCCGACTATGTTACGGTTCGAACAGCTCTATCACTAGAGTTGTTTTAATTATTACTTAATTACAGTTAATTCATTTGTACTAACGACAACGACAAATGGATCGTTTTGTAACTACTGAGTCAGCCCAAGTACGTTACACTGCTGTGCACGGTTCTGCACTAAAGGTTCTTTGTATTGCCACGGAACGAAATGGAAGCGAATTTTTGTAAAAAAATTAGTACATAGCATAATGAAATGTATGTCAATTTTGTAACGTATAAACTGATATAAGCCAAAAAAAACGGGTCAGAGGGTCTACTCTCGACATCCGTCCGTAACAATAACTGCCAAATAAGCAATACTTTACCAAATGAAGAGACGCGTGATGCGAATGAAGCTTCATACTGGATACTCGTCTTTTAATTTTGTCGAATATTACTTATTTGACAGTAATTGTTTCGGACAGAGATCGAGAGTAGCCCCTCAGATACCGGTAAATCCGTAGCTAGCACACACTACTACAGCTACTCTAATATCTAGGTAGTTAAACGTTACGCCTTTCCACCAGAGATGTGCAAGGTAGTGAGGCGGTGCGAGGATGTGTAGCGGCGCTCTGAAACAGTGCGATGTTTTCCACCAAAGTTATGCGAGGTAGGCAGGCGGCGAGAGGTTGTCCAGCGGCAAGGTGTGAGAATGCATTACGGACTCTTTTCAGCTATGCGCGAGCGGAGTACGGTGTGATGGGGTGAGCGGCGGCGATGTGTCCGTGTCACTTAGTGTCATACTTTCAGTAGCTCTAGGTTCCTACACCGTTTTGCACACATTCCTGGCCTGCATACCTCGCACACATTCCTGGCCTGCATACCTCGCACACATTCCTCGCACACATCTCTCGCACACATCTCTCGCTCACATCTCTCGCTCACATCTCTCGCTCACATCTCTCGCTCACATTTCTCGCACACATCTCTCGCTATTTTGTATGTACAAATACTTAGCTCCACTAACCCACCGGAGCAGCGCTAAGCGAGGCTAGGTAAATGAAGTGGATTGGAATTTCTATTGGTGGATTTTTTCCTCGCACACCTTGCTACGTTGCACGTCTCTGATTGAAAAGCAGCCTTAGGCTAGTCAATAATATATCCTAAGATAGCCTGATCTTTAATTTTAACCTACTTGAAAGAAAGGAAGGTGGAGGTTCTCAATTGGACTGATATTTTTGTGTGTTACGTGATTACTCCATTTGTGAACCGATTTCGATGATTCTTTTTTTGTTGTAAATTGGTTACCTCAATAGAGGTCCCATTCAAATTTCATTCCACCTAAATATCCCATTCAAATATTCCACCTCTAAGAGTGGCAAATTAGGGTATAAATCCTGTTTTTGGATCACCCAGTTTGCGTTAACCAATTTGAATAAAATTTGGCAAATG